AGGCTCCTGAGCCACACAAGACCAGACCTCACAACACACACAGGCTCCTGAGGCACAACAGACCTCACAACACACACTCAGGCTCCTGAGCCACAACAGACCTCACAACACACACTCAGGCTCCTGAGCCACACAAGACCAGACCTCACAACACACACAGGCTCCTGAGCCACACCAGACCTCATCATAAATGTTACAAGAGACAGTTGAAGTATTGAGCCCTTGCAACACTCGTCAACTTTTCGCTACGAAAGATTGAATTGCCAGAGGAACAGAGATTCGCGGGAGTGTTTTGCGTCAGATGTGTGCAACTGTACAAGATGCAACGGTGCATCTCGGGGTACCCCATGAAGGATGAGCAGCCTCCCCGGGCGCTCCACCACACCTGTACATACATATTTGGATAAAACATTGTTAGTCAGTTGAACTCATTGAGAAATATAGCTAGGATGACCAAACCACCACACACTAGAAGGTGAAGAGACGAGGACGTTTCGGTCCGTCCTGGACCATTATGATCTAGCACAGGATGTAGCCCACAACAGTTGCTTGGCTCCTAGAACTCTGTCACTGTTAGGTGAATAGAGGCATCGGGTGTGAGGAAACGTTCCGAAACGTTTGGCTCTGACAGGACTAGAAGCCAGGACTAAGCGAGTGTAAGCTAACCCCGCTGACTACTGCGGCACAGACTCGCTGAGTGACTGTGGTACTGTAGCGACTAGGGCAGTTCGGCGCCCCCCTGTCGTAAGGACTACCTCAGAATAACGAGAGTACTGAGTACTGAGTACATGTAAGTACATACTTGTACATGCACTCAGAGCACACTGCTGTAGTCAGAGTGGAGTGCTAGAGTCAGAGTGCACTCTCTCACAGAGAGAGAGAGAGAGAGAGAGAGAGAGAGAGAGAGAGAGAGAGAGAGAGAGAGAGAGAGAGAGAGAGAGAGAGAGAGAGAGAGAGAGAGAGAGAGAGAGAGAGAGAGGAAGGGAGGGAGAGAGAGAGAGACACCTGGGGAAGGAAAACACCTGAAGGAGTAAAACACCTGGGGGAAGGGGAAACACTTTGCCGGGAAAAACACATGCTCATAAATTCCCCAGACCCCTGATGACACGGGCGGGTCCCGGGAGGGTTTTAGGGATAAAAAATCTGATCTTGGTGTGTTGTCGATACTGTGTCATCACTCACGCCTGGCCCTCGCTCTGGTGGTCGTGATGTGTGGTGGTGGTGTGTGGTGGTAGTGGTGGTGGTGGCCGTCATCATTATGGTGGTGGTGCTCATGGTGGTGGTGGTGGTGCTCATGGTGGTGGTGGTGGTGGCGTGTGGTGTTGGTGGTGGTGGTGTTTGTGGTGGTACACCTACCAGTGACTACTAGGCAGTAAGGTCTAACTCTTCATGCCCCGCCTACCACCCTTGTTGTACCTGTTGAGTTTCAATTTGCCAAAATAAATTCTGGTAATTTTTTCTACTCTGACTTGTCTATAGCCGAGTCTAAGAAGAGCAGTAGTAACATCTTGGGGCCAGATTCACGACGCAGTTACGCAAACACTTACGAACGTGTACATCTTTCCTCAATCTTTGACGGCTTTGGTTACATTTATTAAACAGTTTATAAGCATGAAAACTTCCCATTCAACTAATGTTATTGTTATAAACAGCCTCCTGGTGCTTCGGAGCTCATTAACTTGTGTTCCGTGATAACGTTGGCAACTTGGGAATGAAATCTGATTTGTCATTGGCCAAGAAGGGCCGCGTATTGAACTTAGCAAGCAAGACAGCCAAGAAATTTACTGTCCTAAGATGCATTCATACGTTCCCGACAGCAGTGAGTGCAAAACCTTATGTGAAGCCCAAATTTTCTCCTATTGTGCGTTTGCACCACTCTCCTAGATAGCATGCCCTCCATCCATTATTCGAATTCTGGAGAAGGCTGAGAACTGTGTGAGAGACTCGTCTCTAGTACTGATCCTTTGTTGCTGGACTAGTCAGTTCATCAGAGCCTTCAGCACCATAAAGATATCGAAGTCCCCACTGTACTGATATGTATAAGGTAAATATTCTCAAGGTTTCACATCGTGGACAACTATGAGTTGGCCGCCACAACACAAGGCGCTCAGCCATCAATAGCCTCACGCTGGCTGTGTCATTCTCAAGAATATCACTCCATCAGCGACCATTCATTTCTAGGCTGTCTTATAAATGGAGCATGTTCGCGCAGCATGTAGATACCGTTAGTTCACGTCAACGGACCATAAGCCAGCTCTTGCACTCAGTCGTCTCCAGCTTTATCCAATAACTAGCATCACTGTGACTTTAAAAGTTTATCCCTAATGAAATGAATATCTAGGGACAGGATTAAGATAAACTGACGAGCTCTTAGCTTTCACAGTCCCGCTCCTGTGCGAGGTAAGTCCACTTCGGGCTCACCATATCCCGTGCTACTTGCAACTTTTTGTTCAGAGTTGCTGAATCTAAAACATCAATAACAACAAGTGTTAGCTTACAGCTTCATTAGGAATATCAGCACCATGTCTGATGGATCTCAGTCTTGGTCTAAAAGATCCTTTTAAACCAAGACTTTTAAAACAAGACTTTCTTCCTTTTCTTTAAGAGGAAGAAAGAGATGTGTGTGTGGTGACGTGAGGAGCAACACAGAGGCAACAGTCGTGTGCTCCCCGGGACGCCTTGGGGTGTTTTCCCCGGCCGCTGCTGCTCATGATGGAGCTAATTTAAATCTTGCCCTCAAAGCCAAGTTATCTTCACCAAATAATATTTTTTCTGGATATTGAAGAAGTTAATTAACCAGGGACTCCCTTGACCTTTTTTTTTCCAATGAATGTTTGCTTGCTTACTTGTTTGTCTGGTTGCATGTGTCCAGACAATGGCATGATAATCAGGAATGATAATAATAATAGAATAAGGGATGTTGTAGGAGGTATATTGGTCCATATTGGTGGAGGTTCAGGTTGGTGTGACCTGGGTCGCTCTCTTCCTCGTCTCCTGAAGGTCCAGGTATATATGGTGAGAGTGTGGGGTTTACAGCCATCAGAGCGCCAGGTGCCTTCACTTGTGCACCAGACCAGTGTCAACATGGCTGAAACTGGACGTAATTTGAAAATGAAAGAAAAAATTTAAATAAATTTTGGATTTTTTTTCCCAAAAAACAGTAAGTTAAGGGTCCTGTGGTAGGTTAGGTGGGCAGGATATTCTCATAAAGTTTCAAAACGTCATGAAAAATGTTAATTGAAAGTTTCCTCTCCTAACCTTTCCGAGTAAGATGGCGGACTCAAACAGAAAACGGGACAATACATCACTTTTGTGAGCCGATTTCATTAAAAATTACGGCCAGTTTTGGCCATAGCGGCATACGAGCGGAAAGCGACGTTATTTTTAAGAGGACGGGTTGACATGTGAGTGGTTTAGTGTAGGTGAGAACCGGGGCTGAGGGTCTCCACTTTCCCTCGTACATAAAGTGCAGTATTCACCACTTATCTGCGAAGTTGTTATTTATCTGGATAAATTTTATGGTATGAATATCTTTATTCTCATAAATTACATGTGTATTGAGTCTTATTTAGAGATTCTATGTAATTTCTAATCAACTATTACTAGTAAATAGTATGACATACTTCCTTATAGAAAGGCTAATGTTGCAGTTTATTTATATACGACAATGGTAGTCAATGTGTTTCCTGTCTCAAACTACAGTCTCAGGCGTGGTCCACCACAGGTCCACCACAGGTCCACCACAGGTCCACCACAGGTCCACCACAGGTCCACCACAGGTCCACCACAGGTCCACCACAGGTCCACCACAGGTCCACCACAGGTCCACCACAGGTCCACCACAGGACCACCACAGGTCCACCACAGGTCCACCACAGGTCCACCACAGGACCACCACAGGACCACCACAGGTCCACCACAGGTCCACCACAGGTCCACCACAGGTCCACCACAGGACCACCACAGGACCACCACAGGACCACCACAGGACCACCACAGGTCCACCACAGGACCACCACAGGTCCACCACAGGACCACCACAGGACCACCACAGGTCCACCACAGGTCCACCACAGGTCCACCACAGGTCCACCACAGGTCCACCACAGGTCCACCACAGGACCACCACAGGACCACCACAGGACCACCACAGGTCCACCACAGGTCCACCACAGGACCACCACAGGACCACCACAGGACCACCACAGGACCACCACAGGACCACCACAGGACCACCACAGGTCCACCACAGGTCCACCACAGGTCCACCACAGGTCCACCACAGGTCCACCACAGGACCACCACAGGTCCACCACAGGACCACCACAGGTCCACCACAGGACCACCACAGGTCCACCACAGGACCACCACAGGACCACCACAGGACCACCACAAGACCACCACAGGACCACCACAGGTCCACCACAGGACCACCACAGGACCACCACAGGACCACCACAAGACCACCACAGGACCACCACAGGTCCACCACAGGACCACCACAGGTCCACCACAGGACCACCACAGGACCACCACAAGACCACCACAGGACCACCACAAGACCACCACAGGACCACCACAGGTCCACCACAGGACCACCACAGGACCACCACAGGACCACCACAAGACCACCACAGGACCACCACAGGTCCACCACAGGACCACCACAGGACCACCACAGGACCACCACAAGACCACCACAGGTCCACCACAGGTCCACCACAGGACCACCACAGGACCACCACAGGACCACCACAGGTCCACCACAGGTCCACCACAGGACCACCACAGGACCACCACAGGTCCACCACAGGTCCACCACAGGTCCACCACAGGTCCACCACAGGTCCACCACAGGTCCACCACAGGTCCACCACAGGCGCCGCACGCACCACAACATCAGCATCCTCATTACCCACATCAGAATCAACTTAAGCCAGCCAACTGCCCAATTCTGCCACACCTGCCCATGAAGCACCACCAGGGCGAGGGGGAGGCACTGTCAACACGACGCGTCCGCTTCGGAACCGGCCGCAAGTCATCACAATCCTCCACTGTCCTCACCACCTCCGCAGGCGGGCGAGTGGAACCACAGGGCGGCGGCTCGCGGGCACGCCCCACGTGGCCATGCAAGACGGCCGCCGCAGCAACACGCGGAGGCACCTCCACACGCACCTCCACACGCACCTCCACACGCAACACCTCGGGAACAGCCACCTCAACCGCAACACCAGGAAGGTCAAGCAGCCACATCCTCAACAGCAACTGCCACAGTAGACGGAGGAGGGGAAGGCGCGGGCGGGCACGGCAGGGGGACGGACCACACGCCCCACTGCCTCAACAACCCCCATCATTTTTTTTTTTTGAGGGGGGGGAGGCGGGGAGGGAGTAAAGAGGATGGAGAGGCATAGGTGAGGGAAAGTTTAGAAGTGGGAAATACAGTGAAGAGTTATGAAAGCAGGCGGACTGTCCGCCTTGCTGACACCCATCACCAGCCAGGGAGCACACGGGCACCGGCGACACCACAGGCCGAGCCACAGGCCGAACCACAGGCCGAACCACAGGCCCAGCCACAGGCCGAGCCACAGGCCGAGCCACAGGCCGAGCCACAGGCCGAGCCACAGCATCGATGTCACCATACACGAGAGTCTGTACCTCCTCCAGTGGGGGGGGGGGGAAGTCCTCTTCCCGGAACACGTTCACACAAGCGGTGAAGCCACATAACGGAGGACGGAATCGGAGACTTGAGACGCAAAGTGAGGGTAAGGGTCCCGTTCGAGACGCCCCGCCACCTGCCAGAGGAGACAACGTTCATCCTGATGTGCATAACGGTGCCACACTTGCCACAGTAGCGCTGTAACAGGGCCTCCGGGAACTTGAAGGGTACACCGTGAAGAGCCACACATATAATGGAACCACTGCGGCCCGACACCATGATGGTACCTCCGTCACCAGGCCATCATACCGGGCCACCAGATCCCCGAAAGCAGCAGCAGAGTCGAGCTTAACGAGCGCCCGGCGACTAGATGAGAGCCGCACGCCACACACCAACACGCAGGAGAGCCAGCACGACCACCACCACCGTCAGGTAAGACGCCTGCTCGGAGAATTCCAAGCCGATCGTTTGAGCAGGGCGGCCAGGAGACAAGGTCGGCCCCATGACGCCGCCTAACACGGCCAGGAGCCCCGCCTCAGGTCCAGCCACACCGGGCGCCGGGTCAACACTCTTACTGATTAATCGCTCCTGTCCTGGTGAACAGGGGCAATTACATACTTTTATTGATTGGCCAGTAGAATGTTTACATTCTAAGGATTTAGTGCCTGCCCACCAACCAACCCGACCAACACACCCCTGCCCACCAACACACCCCTGCCCACCAACACACCCCCTGCCCACCAACACACCCCTGCCCACCAACACACCCCTGCCCACCAACACACCCCTGCCCACCAACAATGGCCACCTATCCAGCCATCTGGGAAATTATCACATCCTGATGGAAGACATCATAAGAAGGAATGTGAAACGCCATGCAATCTCTGAAGAGACAACTAACACAACACCTATACCCCCTATTAGACTATTTTACAGGAACTTCTTTTCCACGGCCCATAAAACGGAGGAAAGGGTCCTGAAAGATATTGTTAGTAGAAACGTTATCCCTACAGACAAAAATCAGAAGATACAACTGACAATTTACTATAAAACCAGAAAAACGGCCAGCCTACTCATGAGAAACTCTCCAGACACAAAGCAGAACGCTTTAAAAGAGACCAACATCGTCTATGCCTTCAAATGCCCTCTTGGGGACTGTAAGCCTCAAAAAACTCAGTATATAGGCAAGACAACAACATCTCTTTCCAGGCGTTTAACGATGCATAAGCAACAGGGCTCCATTAAGGAACATATAGTCTCTTCCCACAACCAAACCATCACCAGAGAAATCTTAGCAAACAACACAGAAATCATCGATAGATACAGCGATAGCAGGCGGCTTGACGTCTGCGAGGCACTACACATCAAGAAGTCAACACCAGCAATCAACAGCCAATTAATGCACAACTATATTCTACCCACTTCAAGACTCCGCTCCAATATAGAAGCATCAAGAAATATGGGCCAATAAAAATTAGACCTTCTGCAGTTACCTACCTTTAATACCCATTGTTTCGTGTCCTGTCTTGTGTTAAAAATATATTTTCACCTCATCCAAAACTATTGTAACATGTCACTTCACGCAAATGTAGGTATAAAAACTCGAAGATGTTTAAGCTCTATTCAGTTAAAGCTGCGTGTGTGTGTGTAAACTAAAGTCTTTGAAAATGTAATAAGTTTTACGAAACGCGCTCAAGTGTCGCATCAGACTAGAAATAAAAATGAGTTTTGGAGAATTGATTTTTTAATTACCATCAACAGTGAAAAGAAACGTAAGAAAGATCGAGAAAATTCGTGTTAGAATTATTAATCTTACTTTTTCGGTCATATTTAATAATATATATATATATATATATATATATATATATATATATATATATATATATATATATATATATGTATATATGTCGTACCTAGTAGCCAGAACGCACTTCTCGGCCTAATATGCAAGGCCCAATTTGCCTAATAAGCCAAGTTTTCCTGAATTAATATATTTTCTCTAATGTTTTTCTTATGAAATAATAAAGCTACCCATTTCATTACGTATGAGATCAATTTTTTTTTATTGGAGTTAAAATTAACGTAGATATATGACCGAACCTAACCAACCCTACCTAACCTAACCTAACCTATCTTTATAGGTTAGGTTAGGTTAGGTAGCCGAAAAAGTTAGGTTAGGTTAGGTTAGGTAGGTTAGGTAGTCGAAAAGTAATTAATTCATGAAAACTTGGCTTATTAGGCAAATCGGGCCTTGCATAGTAGGCTGAGAAGTGCATTCTGGCTATTAGGTACGACATATATATATATATATATATATATATATATATATATATATATATATATATATATATATATATATATATATATATATATATATATATATATATATATAGGGAAGGGAGTACCACCTCTGGCTGGAAGAAGGGGGACCCATAGCCTCGGCGGAAACCACACATAACGCATTGGAGGGAATGTGGGTCCCCTCCAATACAGTTTCTGTGTGCTTTTCTCCTACCACCCCCTTCCCTTTTTATTTTTTTCCTTTATTGTGTATTTAAAGGTTACAAAACATACAAGACAAATGCCTAAAGGTTATGGATCTCTTGAAGCTCCTCCGCTTCTGGACAGGAACCGAGGACGCAGCATGCATTTCCCCTCTGGATCGCCACACTGAGACGCTGAAATAAAAAACTGGAAGCCCTTGGGTCTCTGGTGACGTCAATGAGCTTGGACCCCAATTCCTTGAGAAATCCCAAGGCACTCTTGCCCCAGGGGCCATGCGTCTCAGACGCTATGGGAACAAAGAGGTATTGACCTTCCAGTCGCCTGTACTTGAGTGATTTTGTTGTTTCCCTGTGGTTGGCCGCCCCACCTGCTTGATCAGCTCCGAAGTGTACATAGGTGTCAGCCAGAGTGGATGCACATGTGTAGTCCCACACCAACTGTCTACCCTCCTTCCATGAGTATATGGTGATGCCATCAGGGCGAAGTGCTGGGAAATCTGGGTTTATATATATATATATATATATATATATATATATATATATATATATATATATATATATATATATATATATATATATATATATAATATATATATATATTGTGACGATAATCTCTTTCAAGAGAGATTGAGCCTGCTCTTCACTATATCAGTCACGTCATTCTACAAGTACAAGATGCTACATTAAAGATACGTCCACCAGTAGCACAAAACGTTTTGACCAGGAAGCAAAGCGTACCCTGCACCACCCGTCACACCGGCTCACCGCCCGTCGTCAACGAGCTAACTACCCATTCTCCGCCTGCCTGCTCCTGATTGGCTGGTGTATCGCCGACAGCACACCTGCACCTGCACTCACGCCCTCTACCTGAGTCGACGTCTGGGCCAGCTCAAGCCGTCTTCTTCAGAATATTTCTGTGCTCTTAGAAGTTGACATCTCTCTCTGGTATACTAAGCCCTGGCTGTCGTATACTAAGGGAGGTGGCAGCTATAGCCAATATTCTCAGCACCTGATTATTATTGCATTGCACATTATTTTATTGTAGAGTAAATTTTCATATCTAGTAATTATTCATGTTATTTTGTTTGTTGACTTGTTTTGAATTTTACGTAAGCCAAGGGATTGTCTTTGTTAATATTTTGTTTTCTAAAGTAATTAAAATTTCATTGTTTATATTTTGTGTTTTGTGAGTCTTCCCATTACCTTACCACAGACAAACAGGCAAGCAGTCTCTTTTTTTTCTGTAAGTGTGACAAGGCATTGCCACCTGCCATTGGAGGACTGCCGAACATCAACACTCCAACACTTTACCGTCACAATATATATATATATATATATATATATATATATATATATATATATATATATATATATATATATATATATATATATATATATATATATATATATATATAAAGTAATAATATACATAATAAAGTGTACACCATAAAAAAGGGGGGTGGTAGGAGAAGCGAACACTAATACGCATTCTACTTGACTACTGAAGAGGATTAAGATGCTTTTACAAGCTCAGGTTACAGTTACATCACATACATTGCATAATTGATACATTACATGGTCAATCTTTGGTACAAATCCAATATATTATCATGTGTTCCAGTATTCATATACTAGTTACAGAGTGTTAGTGTGCTTCAGTAGTCCACACTAGAGAGCACTAGTGTCTTGAAAAGTATCATTATTGGTCTGAAATCTCTTGTTTAAAGGTTCTTATTTACACATCTGTCTTTTATTTCCTTGAAGTTGGGACGGCTACTTTACTGTGTTGTTTATAAGTAATGTCTTTTGACAAGATGGTGGTCTCAGAACCCCCACCATCGCCCTCACCCCACCATGGTTCACCCCACCACCACTATCACCAACATCATCCACACCACCACTATCACCAACACCATCCACACCACCAACCTTATCATAAATATGGTCTCCATCATCGCTACCAGTATTTCTACCTCTCATCCTTCTATTTCCCACTGGCTATTCCCCCTCACCTCTCCTTCACCTCTCCCTTCACCTCTCCCCTCACCTCTCCTTCACCTCTCCCCTCAAACTAATTCCCCTCCCCCGCCCTC